CTTGTTGAGTAGTGGCCCGTGGCTGCACGACCTGCACTGCTGGCTCTGCGGCGCGCTTCCTTGGCACAGCCCACTGTCGCGAATGCTCCATCTGAACAAATTCTTCCAGCACATGACGATCCTGCTCAACGAGCCTCCGACAGATACTCCAGGTTACGACAAAATTGTCTCCATGAGCTGCCATGTCCTGTAGAACGGCACACTCACGAGCCTCATCCTCAGAGGTAAAAAGAAAAGCCAGATCACCAGCACAGACTGGGTCTGCTATCAGCCTCTGCCATTGCTACAAGGTTGCCATGAACCCCCACCGGCATTGTCTCCTTCAGAGCACAACGCACAGCAGGGGGGCACGTGCCCACAAAAGAAAGCTGGAGGGCACAAGCCACTCACCGCTTGAAGCCGTAGGCTGCAGGACATCAGCATGTCTGCTTCAAGAATAGAACCTTCTAGACCCAAACGAACCAGGCCATGCTACAGAAGGGGATCAAACCACAGAAACCATGTCGCGTCCAAAACTTTGGCCCCCGAAACCTCGGGGCCCCCAAAACCCAAACCTCGGGCCCCTTAGCATCCAGCCGTGAATTTGCGAAGCCGTTACGTCAGTGTTGCGCAATGAAAAGTTGAGAGCGGCAACGTTGGGGGGATTAAGGGTCAGCGGCCACTTGACCCACTTGCCGCGCTTGCCCCACTTGACACACCCACTCGTCTCACTTGCCCCACTTGCCACGCTTGCCCCACTTCTCCCCTATAGAGTGGCCCCTCAACTCCTGCTCTGGAAGCTCCAAACAAGCCACTTGAGGGCCCCAAAACGAATTTCTGCCCAACTCGCACCACTTGGGCAGGGTCAAGTGGGGAAAGTGGGTCAAGTGGGTCAAGTGGGGCAAGTGGGGCGAGTGGGACAAGACAGGCGCCTTAAATGTTCCCACCCCTGCCATCGCAAAAAAAATTTGAAAGAAAACTTCAAGGTCCACGCACTTGATGGTCGAAATCCATCACAACGCACGATTTAGTAGAGGCAAATTCCAACAACACAGCTTCTCAAACAATGAACCTTCGACCATGTAAGCTCTCTCTTTCCGGATGCTTTTCGTGGGAGTAAAACTGCTAGACGTGCTGGTGATGTCCCGTGAAAGGTAGTTGACTGACCCCAGCAATGGATCAACAGCCTTTAAGAATTCAACAAGACTGAGACGTCGACAACGACGCGGCGAAAGCAAGAGAAACTTCAAGGATTCAAGCGGAATGTTGAAGAAATTTGATGGCCGTGGGTTAAAATACAGGATCTGGCTGAAGGCTCGAAACGCTAGGGACCCGAAACCTCAGGCGCTTAAACCCTGGAGGCCCTGAAGCTGTGTTGGAGGCCCCTGAAGGGGCCTGGAGGCCTGTTAGCCCTCGCTTGAATTCTGCCATTGAAGCAGGCCATAAAAAAGGAGTACCAAATCATGTTGCGAATTTGTTCAAAGCTGCGTATTTTTGTTTCTCAGGCGTGCGTTGGACCTTGTTTTCGTTTCTACTGAAATACTGGGAGGCTTTACACATGCAGCTCCCTCGTCGACACTTTACACATGCAGCTCCCTCGTCGACACAAACCTTCCTGAATTGCCCGGCTCCCATTTCTCTCGTGTCTCGCAAAACTTTGCCGATCCCTGAGGAACGACAACCCTTTCATGAGCTTGAAGGTAGCAAGGACGAAACGTTGATGAAGGAGGAACATCGCAATCAAAGTTCATACAGTTTGGGGTGGACACCGGGGTGCTTCCAGCACCAGCACACCCCGTCAACGAACCGCAAGAAACCCCAAACCTTACATCCCAGAGCTTAAGGTCCAAACGCAAAGCTGAAACACCAAACCATGAAGGCCAAAACCCCAACATCAAAATCCATGAAACCCAGGCTGCAGAAAAGGGTGAGTCGGCAGTCCTTTCTAAAGGTTCAGACTTACGTAAAAGAGACCCAGCTAGCGTCAACGCAAAGTGAATGAGCGCGACGTTTGAGAGAAAGCGGATGTCACATGATGTCACCACGTTCCAGCTCAAAGCAGGTGTTTGAGTATTTGTATCCTGCCCGGAAGTCACAGCTTGCACGCCTTGAAAGCATCACAGCTTGCACGCCTTGAAGGCATGCCAACAGTGCATCTCCAGGCCTGTCTTTACCTCACCAACTCCTTAACGCTGAGCTCTAAGCTTGCGTCGTGACAGAAAGAGAAAGCCCCAATGCTACTGATTCACGCAGCAAACATGTGGTTTGCTTAGCCAGTCACCAGTCACTCGTGATTCCGCGTGGTGTGTTGAGCGGGGCAATTTGGGCAAGCATGCCTGTCCTAAAGCAAACAGGGCACCATGTTTCAGCCCTACAAAATGTAGGTAGGTAGATTCCTGCCTGCAAAAAGAAAAGAGCAAGGCTCAGGGTGCCGCCGCCCCCGAATTTGATAGAAAGATGAGATGAAGGTCTTCGCGTATGCGCTTTGGTAGCAGCATGGGCCTTGGGTCGCAGCGCAACAATACTAGCAGTGTTAGCAGCAGTAGGATGAAGAGTAATAGCAGACATGATAGCGATCACAGGAAGAAGCGCCTCATGAAGCAAGAATGCAAACGACAGAAATGCTGAGATCGAGAATGCCAGAGAAGCGGGAGGGACCAAGCAGCAGGGGATGCCAAGAGGCCAAGAAACCCATTAGCTAGAAGGATTGGGAGCCACCAAAGCGGTAAAGCCTGAAGGGGAGCTTCCGGACAAGCAAAGAAGCCAGAAAAGCCGAGAAGACAGACACACGCAGAAAGCGAAGAAGCGAGTCAGAAAGATTGCAGGCCAGCCCGTCAAGCAAAACGCAGCATCAAATTGGAGTACCTAGGGTTTTGGGCTTCAGGATTTGGATTTTGTGGGCAGTTGAAGATCACAGTCTAGTGTCTATGGATCTTCATTAGGGTTTGAAATGTGCGGTTCAAGGTTCAGGGCTCGCGTACACCCCAACTGAGGCCTAATGGTTAGATTTTGGTACCTTAGTTCTACATCACCTTTCAGCTTCTCAAGAACTGGCAAAAGCTAGGAGACCAACCGCCACTCGCTGATTCCTGCGCACTCTCAGGCTCAAAGCCTGGTTCTCTTTGCTGTATCAAAGCAGAGTCCTCAAGCGCTGCAGGAGAGGTAAAGCAGTTCTGCGGGATCCTTACTCACTGCAATTGAAGCACACCGTACTTGCACATCACTTTGGCCATCAAGCTCAGGCTGGCGCACGTTAATGTCGTCGCCTCATACTAACTCCCCGTGGATTGCATGAGATGCGCATGGCCACTGTACATGGTCCGACAAAAACAGAGTTCTCGGCCCAGGCGCTGGATGCCCTTGGCCACTCTACTTTTTGCAGCACTGCATTGTAGCTGATCAATCCAAGCGCATGCCCTGGTGCTGGGTAAGCATAGGATGAGCTTAATGAATGTAGTAGAACACAAGTCGACATTTGCGCTTTTGATGGCATGGGTCCTGATAGTAAAGCTCCCACCTACCACAGAGTGCGGAATTGGATGGTCAGGGTTTGAGGCAAACTGGCGGGTGCAGTGTAGGATTTGGAGTCGGGAATACTTCAAAAGTGTTTCATCAATTTAGGATGTGAATTCTCACACAGCCATCTCGTGCGTTTTGCACATGATGAGGAGCAGAGGAGACTGCCAGAACAAACAACAACATCATAGCCCCTAGATTTGGCAATTTCCCTCTTCCCCTTGTGTACATACTGTACCGAGAAAACTTGAGTGCTCGGCTGATGCGGCCACCGGCTGTCCTTTGCCCTGACCGGCATCGGTTGCAAGAATGCAATGCAATGAAATGGCGCCGGTCTCTTGGAATACTCTCACACCAGTGACTCACCTAGGGAAACAACCTGACCTTACTCGAAGTTACATGCCCAATCTCGCAAAATCACACATGAAAACCACCGGCACCCAAAGCCCAGCCACGTAGCCTGGCGTGGATAGCAACAACAAGTAAACAGAATGCTTGAGGAGAGCCACAGCATCCGTAGCAGTCAACCTAACCTCCACACTCCTGAACAAACTTGATGCGGCGGGAACTGAAAAAAGTCATCTAAGCCAGCCAGGATCACATCCAGCTGCTTTGGCTGCCCTGCTTCGTCTGGCCTCACATGTCAAAGTTTGGCGACTTCAGTATGCGCACGTCGCATGAGCCCAGAAATCTCTCACGCACTGGAATCTGGACAGTTCAGGCCTGGGAGCACCTGACCCCATGACATGGCGCAGCCATGGCAAGGAGAAGCTTGGTCCAAACACGCTGTCTTCAAGCTCTGCTAGGTCTGCCACATGGAATTTCAAACGTGTTGCTGGCCCAGCTACCAAATTTCTTTCTAGCCCAATTGCCTACAAATTCTGGTGATAATGCTGGTCCGTCACTTTGCACTTGACAACTCGCGCAATGCCCAACACCTGTGCAAGCTTCAACACACATGCAAGTTGCGGCATGGAAATCAACACATGATTTCAGCCCACTTCCTCATCCACACCACACCACCAGGCATAGTTTTTGTGCTGGTGCTTGCGCCTGTCGCTAGACCCAAGTCGCAGCAAATGCAGCCGATGAATTGAAAAGGCTGCGTGCCTCTAAACAGGACCTAGCTGGATTGCTTTTAGATTTTCAGCGGGTGCCACGCTGGCAGTACCCTTCCGCGCATGGAGCCGCAGCACTGCAGCCCATAGATTGGAGATAACATGGGCACGCAGCAATCCGTCACACCGAATTCAATTAAGAACGAGCTTGAGTCAAGCCAGTGAAACTGGCACGTCAAGTATGTACGATGTGCTTCTGTGCGATGCTACAGGGTGAAAAACAAATTGATTGCAGCATGTTTCTCTGCAGCACAACTTCCGTTCGGAATCTACACATTTCCCTGAAGCCTGGCAACTACTCCTGATATGACACGAAAAACTCAGAGCTTCCTGACGAACACTTCGAAGATCAGGAGGAGCCACATATCTACTATCAGCGCTTGTATGCTAATGTGCACGTGCCAAAGGTCTGCTCATGTCCTCAGATGTGCAAGCGCACGCTATATCAATTCAGCGGAACAAGCAGCTTCTTTCTGCCAGGTTTCATTCGCCTCGCGCCTCAGCAATCTGCAGTACACTGATCTTGGCAGTCCGTGTGAAAGACACCAAGGGCAAGACGCCATGCCAGCACCCTGATTCACGAAAGCATTTTTGTTGCTGTACAGAAATCAGCTACCTTATCTTGCGCCATTCATTCCCGGCACCTTAACGGTCCAGACGCTATCTTAGGAACTAACTGTGTAAGCTTCAACGTCTCGATGCCATCTAGACGTGGGTCTGACACCGCGTTGGCAACCACTCTCAATACTGCTCATCAGCTTGCACCTCAGCAAGTGATAGGCCTTGAGGTGTCCGGGACTGTCACGATCAGCAAGGTGATGCTGCAAACGTAGGCCTCCTACCTAGTCAGAACCGATTGTACAAGGGTGGGCATGCTGCTTCACCACGTCCACCATGTCCCAGACTCTGTTGTTTGCCAGAACGAATTCTCCAGCTTCAGGCTCAGGAGACCTCGAGTTTTAATCAAGTTTTCTACCACACCACCATCTCGTCCTCAGCTCACTGCGCTCTGCTGATTTGCAGAGGCTCCCCTGGTGAAGCTGATGCTCACAAAACACAAAGCAAGGTCAGGAGTCTGCCTGATAGAGGGCCATTTGAAGGTGCAAAAACACGTCTCGCGGAGCCAGAACGCCGCTTGCCTGGAACAAGCGCAGTTCAGCACAGTTAAGCAGCAGCGGGCCCAGGATGCCTTCAGCAGAGGACTGCGCGTACTTCATGAGAAGTTCTGCAACAAACAACATCAGGAAGAAGCCGTTTGAGAAAATCCAAATCCCAGGATGCGGCTTTCGTCGTTGGCTGCCGCAACCGCTTTCGCCAGCTCGTTGTCACCTGGAAGAGAAGTATGACGAAGCGCGACTTTAGCACTTCTGAAGCTCATGAGGTTGCTGCCTTCAACTGAAGTAACCTCCACTCCATCCACATCGGGATCTGGCCGATACTTCGCAGGCCTGTGAACGAGGCCCGTTGGTTTGACATGTCAGAACTACGCCCAGAAAACTGAGATGCTTACTTGTCTCCATCAGACGTTCCTATCAGAATAGTGGAGAGGGTCCTTCTCGCTGATTAGACTCCAAGGCCTGGTGGATGATGGTCGCTGCCCTGAGACTTACTGCTCTCTGACCTCAAGCTGTTGAGTCCAGGCCCGCCATCAACACCACAGCCAAGGTGATTTGGTCGATCACGCATCTACTCAGAAGAGCCTGCGATGCACACTCATTCTTGGTGTCCAGCAGACCTTCTCGTTTTGGCTTCTCATCCTCTATGCCAGACAAAGTACTTACCTGACCGTTTCCAAGCCACTGCAGGCTTGCAGCACTTGCAAGATTTTACTGGCAGCAATTGCAGTGTTGTGCCTCGTACTTATGGCTTGCCCCACATCCCATCTCAGGTGCCGAAGGCAGATGGGCCACTCGACACCGACATAAGCTGGAGAGAGCAGCAGGGCGCAGCAACGTACACGACTACTGGCACACAGGTTCCAAAGAAATGTATGCATGATGTGTTCTAAAACATGAGCAAGCACTACACTACTGGAAGCCTGGAAGCCTCGGCAGCGGAGTGGCTTTTTTCCTGCGTGGGCGGAAGCGTTGGTCCTCCTGCGTGTGCGCAGCCTTGTTCCAGCCACGCTTGCCAGAGCGCTCCTTGACAGCATGTGCAAAGAGCAGAGAACAGACACAGCTCTGCGTAGGCTGAGCTTCTGACCTGGCCATTGATAGCAAACGGCTTCAGGATGCATGTTACATGGGCGCAAAGGGACCTCTACTTTTGCAGGGTATCTGCGCCAGCATCGCTGCTTTTGCTGGATCTCCAGACTTACAGGGAATCTGCGCTAACAGGGCTGACTTGGTAAATGATGAAGCCGGCGGCTTTGCAAAACCTGGCTTTGGCATGACAACTTGTGGAGCCTTTGGTGTTGGAGGTGTTGAGTTTAGATGTTGTCTGGCAGGCACAACTGTCGCCGCAATTGGCACAGCAGGCGGTGTCGTGGCAAGCGGCAGTAGTGCTTGCAGCTGAGGGTGTATAGGTGTTGGGAATTGTTGTGGTGCAATTGTTGGCAAAGACTGGGCACTAGTCAGTTGCGACAGTAGCACAGCCTGGCTCCAGCTCTGCAGAGCTTCTGCCTCACTGGCAGGACTGGCTTGTGGTTGTGCTTGCGTTGCTTGTGTTTGTGACTGCAAGGCATGGGCATAGGCAGTGAGGTAGTCTCCTCCGGGCTTTTGTGCCTGGCTGTTGTCCAAGGTGCTCATCTGCTGCTGCATCCAAGCATACATCAAGGTCATCTGAGACTGAAGGGTCTGATGGTTTTCGCTGACTTGGCTCTTCATGTCATACTTTTCTTTTGCCAAAGACTTTGGCACCACCTTCTGCTCAGGCATAGGCATAGGCGTCTGGACTGGAAGCTCCTGTTGACAGGCTAACAATGCAATCAACAAAATGTTGGGCACAGTGGTGATATGTGGTGATTAGCCAATGCCATATGCAGACTTCTAGAGCAGCAAGCTGGCGATTCTCGCAACAGCAAGTGGTTCCGAGCATAGCTGGAAATACAGGTCTAGGGCAGGTCTAAGGTCCGGCTCTGAGGCAACAACTGGCCGCGGTCAGTGTCAAAAACTTCCCTGGAAGTCTACACACCCAACTAGGCTAAGCATCATGAAGCAAACCGCGCAAGAGCAACCAACGTCCTGCACCGCAGTCACGGCGACTGATGTCTGCTCCAACTGCTTCGGCTCGGGCTGCACAGCTTGAATCTGCGCCATCTGCGCCAGATGGGTTGTCTGGACTTCTGCACCACTGGTGCGCTCCGATTTCTTGGCTTCCTGCAGGGTTCTAACTTCAAACGCGATTCGCCGAGGTTCTGGCGCAGGAGCGCTTGCACTTCGGTCGGTGTTTGTCTGTGAAGCCTTCTGCTCTGCTGGCGGGGTTCCGGCACTTTTTTGCTGTTGCTTTTTTGCCTTGCCATCAGGCGACACACGTTCCTTGGTCTTTCGGTTTCCATCCAGCTGCTTCAAGAGAATTCGCTCTTGAATCCTTTCACGCCTTGCATCACGAAGGTCTTGTGCCGCTTTTGCTGCAGCAAGTTCAGCAGCCTTCCTTTCTTGATCGTCCCTCTCCTGCTTTCTTCTTTTTGCATCCTCTTCCGAGTCTGTAGGCTGAGTAGGCTTGGTACTTGCATCAAGCTGTCTCTTCAGTCCGCGATCTTCTCCGGCTGCGGAGACTGCGAAGGCTGCAGGAAGTCTTTCCAGTCCTTGTGCTGCAGGTCCAGGCTCGGCAGTCCTAGCAGCCCTAGCAACGCTCAGAGCCTGTGGTATCTCAGGCTCAGCATTACTCGGTTGCGAAGACTGGTTTGCTGGCTCTTTCTCTGCTTCGGAAGGCTCCATTTCAGCCGACTTTTTTTCGCGCCGTTTTTTCAACGGCTCCTCAGGATGCTTGTCCGGCTGTCGCTTGTTCGTGCGTGGCTCACTCTCAGATGCCTTCTGCTCGGGAAGGGCAGACTTAACAGAAGCTTGAGGCTTGCTTGTCTTGTCATGTGTCTCCCTCTTTCCCTCCGCAGTGGATGAGTGCGAGTCATTGTCATCGGCCATTTCACCCTCGACAACTTCCTCAGACTGAAATATGCATGATGGGAAGCTTATGACAACAATCAGGCGAGCAGAAAATGCAGACTCACAGCACGTTGCCTCAATGTCAGCTTCATCAACAACACCTCCTTGCTGCCTTCTGGCCTGAAAACACGATCCAAACTCGACAAAGATCCTGCTTCGACACAGCTGCGTGCCTTCTCAGCTCCTTCTTTCAGAGGCCGAGCCGCCTCAGCCGCCTCCACATCGATGCTGACGCTTTGGGTTTTTTCTTCTTGTCTGCCGTTCGCTTCCTCCGGGCGTACACTCTTGAAAGAAAAGCCATTGGGTTCTGCGCAGTCCTGCTTTTCCTTAGGAACCGTCACAACCGATGCCTCAGCGCAACTTGCTTTTGCCGAAGTGTGAGGCTATGGCTTGGCGGTTGTGTAGCTGCTCACAACCAGGCTGCACCCGCGTCATGTAAACAAGAGACTGGCAGATGCAGGCTGCAGGCAGGCATCACATGCGGTGCAATCTTGGGGTGGGACATGAGCAGCGTGCTTGGAGCCTCCAGCTAGCATGGTTGCAGGCTGCAGGACATGCATGGGTGACCTATAAAAAAAGTTATATGAGGCGGCGTCAAAATTACTTGTTTGTTCTCTCTTGGTTTTTGAATTAGGGCGTCCCCTATCGATTTCCACGTTTTGGGGATCTTNNAACGGTAATTTTGACCCCGACCCATATCATCATCAACAAATTGAAACTTGGAGATCAAAAAACATAAATCATAATCAAAGACAATTATTCCACCTGCCAAATGTGGAAAATCACAGGGATCGTGGGGGCCGGAGTCGCCATCCCTGTAACTGTCGTCGCTTTTGGACCCCTGACCCCCTTGCATTTTGCAAAAGAGCCAACAGTCGCAGGGATCGTGTGGGTCGGGGTTGCGATCCTCGTAACCGTCGTCGCTTTTAGACCCTTGGAGCCTCTCGGAATTTGAAAAATGTCAACAGTCACTGGGATCCTCGGGGTCGGGGGCGGGATCCTCGTAACTGTCGTCGTTTTGGACCCCTGGAGCCTTTCGGAGTTTGCAAAGCGTCAACAGTCACAGGGATCGTGGGGGTCGGGGTCGCGATCCTCGTAACTGTCGTCGTTTTTAGACCCTTGGAGACTTTCGGAATTTGGGAAATGTCAACAGTCACCAGGATCCTCGGGGTCGGGGCGGCATCCTCGTAACCGTCTTGCTTCCCCAAGATTCTATTGGAGTTTGAAAAAGTGTGGACAGGCACAGAGTGGCTTGGCATTTGCAAACAAGATGATCCGCACAACTTTCCCTGACTGAAAACACGGTGATGACATGATGCCCTTTCCCTTTTTGGCAAGCATGGATGGGTTTAAAAATGCGGGGGGGTTGGGGGGGCGCAGGCCCTACATGTGCAAACAAAATTATACGCGCAACCTTCCTTTACAGCAAACATGATGACGACATGATGCTTCTTTTTAATTGCAAGCATAACTGGACTTGAAAATGGGGGTGGGTTGGGGGGGCGCAGCCCCCCCCTGACCCTGTGCAAGCAAAATGATCCGCACAACATTCCCGTGCTGCAAACATGGCGATGACATGTCTTTTTTTTTGCAAGCATTGCTCCTATTATTGCTCGGCCTACTATTAGTGCTATTACTACCATGATTACTACGACAATATATTTGGCTTCACTACGACTATTGCTACTCGTGTATTTCTACCATAGCACTGCGCCTGCGCTACGAGGTCTTTCCATTATCTTATTTAGTTTCTGTTGATGTTTGAATCTCTGTTTTTTCTCTCTTGCCCTGCTTTCTCTTTCCTCTTGGAGATGATTTTTTTTTGTTCTGTATTGCGTTCTTTCTCTTTGTTTTATCCTCTTGTTTCTACGTCTTCTTAGTGCATATTTCATTCTGGCTGTTTCTCTCTGTCTCTCTTGCTTTCTTTCTTGCTCTGCTGTCTGCGTATACTTTTCGTATCTCTCTTCATGTATTTCTTTCTTTGTTTTCCTCTTTCTTTCTTTCCTTCTTTCTTCCTTGTCCTCTTGCTGTCTTTCTTTCTTTCTTGCTTTCTGTCTGCCCCTCTATGTTTCCGTAGTGTTTGTTTTATGTAGAACCTTCAGCAGGCATCGGTTGGTCCCAGGGGTTGGTGGTGCCGAAGTGCTGCGCTTTGCAGGCTTTTCGATCTTTATTTTTTCTTGATTATGATTTAATGTGTTTGATTGTATTTTGTCTTTCTTGATTATGACTTATAACTTATAACTTTTTTGATAGGCATCCCGACATGCATAGTCTGACAACCTGGGCGCACACCATTGAGCTGAGGAGGAGCCAGCTGCCTCAGTCACAGACTCAAAAATCGAACACATACATGGCAAACCAGCAACAGCTTCTGCCCAACATGCGTCAACGGTGGGGCACAGGCTTCTGAGTGTTGTTTAGCGCTTTGCAGTGCAGGTGCTCCACAATCTGCTCGGCATCTGGCAAAGCTCGGAAGCTGGAGAGAATGAGCTGTCCTCCCTTGAAGCATGCCAGCTTTGCTGGGGCGAGAGGATGGCTCGCCAAGCATCATCTGAAGAAAGTCCTGGCTAAGGCCAAGCGCACCTGGGATGCGGTCGCCCTCCTGACAGCCAGAATGGCAAGATTGAGACATGTGTCGATAAGCCTGGCCAGAGTGGGCGAGCGCACAGTGAAGCCCAACTTCCTGCCATCCTCACGCGAGCTCTCGAGCACCCACCCACCCACCCACCCACCCAAATCTTGATTTTCTCTTGAAACCCCTCTATCTCTCCCCACCCTCGCTGCCCACCACCCTCCGACCTCCTCAGGCAATTCTCACCCACCTCCCTGAAATTCCCCTATCGTCTCCTCTATCGTTTCCTAAATATGATCTCATCCCGTACCACTCCCAGCCTTCCGCCCCTTCTCTCCCTGCCTCAAATTCACATGCGTTTCGTAGGCCTCCCGCCGCTTACTGATTAATTTTTGAAGGATTTTAGAGGTTCCCACCCCAAGACCCACAAAAAAGCCTCATGAGCACAGATGCTTTTTGAAAACTAGCCCCGAGGCGCATCCAAGCCGGACAGGCAAATTTTCCAGGTGTAAGCGGTGCTGCAGGCCCTAAACCCTAAATCCTAGACATTGAACTACATTCTAAATCTCTGAACCCCAAAAAAATCCCAACAACTCTAAACCTCAAGCCTTGGGCTTCTTCAAATCTCCTTAGCAAAATTAATGGACAAGAACGTTGAATCTAAAATTTAGGGTTTGGGGTGTAGGAATGAGGAAATGGAACCCTCCATAATAGAGAATCAAATGGGAAATATGAGGGCTACTGTAGGCATCCATTGCTAAACTTCACCTCCAGTATGCCAATGTCCCTCCGGCTTCCACTGCACTTTCCAATTCTTTTTCCATCCCCTACTCTAGACCCTCAACCCTAGCGACAGACCTTCTAAATCCTGACCCTAATCCCAACTACAAGGGACCTGAACCCCAAACCGGACCAAATCAGCATCATGAGGACGGACCGTTTTGCGAACTAGCCCCCAGGCCAGTCTTGGGTCTGTCAATGCCTGCTGTGCCAGGCATGATGGAGTTCATGGGGTATCCAAACGAGGAAATTCCTTGTTTGCGTCCAACAGACCTAAAGAGACCCACGAATCCTGACCAAAGGACTATGCCCCGAAGCTACTATGCTGTCGTTCACCACTACCATTCCGACCACTCCTACACTTCTTGCCCCGTTACTTGCTGCCCCCTTACTCTTGCTATCGCTATTTTCTGCTGTTGGCTACGAAGGCAGCGGGGCCGGGCCAGGCCGCTTGGCCTTTTATTAGCCAACTCCTTCTTAATCTTTTCTGTGCTTGCAAGGCAGCCAGCGGCCTCCAGTCCCATCAGTCGACTGACAGCCAGGCGCGCTGCCTGCCAAGATAGTCAAACTGCTCGGCAGCATGGTACGGGGAGAATACGGAGTCATCAGGTCTGCCGACCTGCATGCCAGAAGCCTGCAACTGCACGGCCAGCACACCAAATGAATAGACCTCAGCAAACACTATGTACAAAAAAAACTAGCATTTTCCAGTCTTTTGCAAAATCAGGTCAGCTCCCGGAGCTTCGTCTGACAATATTCTGTTCCAGGTTTGCTCTCACCCTCACTTGGAAGCCTCGTCAAACCCATCAAAAAATAGACCCTTACACACAAGCCATGGCTGCCCCCAAAACCTTCCATCCTCCTCAGCCTTCCCCGTCAGCCATTCCCTCCTAGCTTCGTTTACTGAGAGAGCCGTCAACAAGCTACCTGTATCACGGATTTTCATTGTCTAGGCCTCCTCACGCTCCTCAACAGTCAAACCTTCCTTCAAGATTGACTGCTAGCACGTCTTCTGCTACACAGGCAGAACCACCACACCTCAGCGACACCCCTGCCACAAACATCAGTGTTGAACTGATGACATGGCTGTTAAGCTGCCATCTTTTTCATTTCCAACATGTTACTTTGTCCGGCTCGGCTCAACAAAGGATGTACCACTTCCTCTGGATTGGCTCGACGCCACTCGTCTCACAATAAGGCCACTAAGCTTCTCAGGGCTTGGGACTTTTGACTGTCGCACTCAAAAGCCTGTGGAAGCTGCACACCACTTAACAGCAATTTCATCCCCTCTATTGCATTCGCGATGACCTTGATAGAATCAAACCAGCTAGCCAAACGCGCTTTGCAATTGCAACTCCACACTCCACCCCCTTGAAGCACCAAAGATACATTTCAATATTTATCCGTCTCGTATTCGTACCACGGGCTGCAAAGGCAACAGTAATCAGTGATAAGTTGTGCAAAGGGCACTCTGACCTTGGAAGCTGGACTGGTTCCGCTGCACGCTGGCTCATGTCTGAAGCAGTCTACCGTTACAAAGCACGTTCCTGTTGGAATTGCTGGATTTGTAGAAAACGTTTTCCGCGGAGCTTGTTTTGCCTTTCCCTCCTGTGTGCCGCCTCATGTCGAAGATGATCCTCATCATCCGACTTAAGTTATTCCTTACACCCTCCAGGACATGCAGAAGAGGACAGCGCTAGCTTAAGTAGCAAACCTGAGAGCGATGAAGATAGCAGCTAGGAACATGGAGAGACCAGAGAAAAGTTGAAAGCAACACTACTAAGACAAAGATACACCTGCATACACCTGAAAAGAGCGGGCTCATCCTAGTTGCATCAGGCATGTGCTACAACGTGAAGTTCGGGCAGAGCAACAAGGCGGCATGGCTGACGCCGTGCCGCAAGGCATAGAAAAGCGGCTCAGACCCCTAATGAACAGGACCTCAAGCCTGCCGCTCCGCTTGTTTTCGCTCCTAAATGACGTGCAAGGTCTAGGTTTTAGCCAGGCGCACCAGAGACTCAGTCTTGGAGCTCGGAGTCAACACCTACACATGTCTTTGGCATGGAGCAAAAATTCAGAACGGAGCTGGGTTCGCATGGATTTGTGATGTGCCTTGCCTGGTGTGGAGCAAACTAGTGGCGAATGACTGTTCTGCTGATGAATCCGATGATGCTTACCCCGGGCATCAAGCAGAGGCGGCGCTTCCTCCTTCTCCTCTGCCACTACCAAGATGATGATTGCCGACTAGCCTGAATTGTCTGCCACCTTCCCACGTAGCCAGGTGCTACAAGTCCAGAATAGGCGTCAAGCCCCCAAGTTTGGTCTGGACACAAGAGGCGCAGCATGACTGCGTGAGAGCCCATGCCCATCCTTTACCAAGCTCCTGATGTTGTCACGCAAAGCACAACTGCCACATACTGCAACAGCGAACTGCCCAACAAGTCCCAACAAGCATCAGCTTCTTGTTGGCTTCTACGACAATGCCAGAGTCAGTCTTAGGGCGCCACATCAAATGAGTGCGCTGGATACGCGAAATTCACAAAGTTCTCTTTTGTCTGGAAAGGCAGAATAGTCAAGGTTCAGATCATGAAAAGTGGATCCAAAGAAGTGCCTTGACTTCAGGAGGAGCCCAATCAAAGCGCTTTTTCTCTTCTTCTTTCCAGTTGCACCTCGACAAGCCAGCACCAGCAGGCAGGTCAGCTGTCAGCAAAGTGCACCCAGAATTGCATTGAGTTGTCTGTATGCCAAAATTCCAGATGTGCCCAACTGCAAGCATGAATCCCTTGGGTGACATCTTTAAAATTGCAGCCTGAGTAAGTGGTACGTCAAACTAGTCGCTTGGGCCAATCCCTTGCTCAAAGTATCTTTTGGAGAGTGCAGTTCTACGAATGAAGACACAGCCCCGACATGAGTTTGAAAGACTTGGTCCGCCAAATATTGAAAGATGACACGAAGATACACAAAGTACTGCCGCGGCATGCCTGACGACAGCACTTTTGTTGCGACTTTGTCGGGACCTCAGAGACACAAAGAGACAGCGAGAGAGAGAGAGAGAGAGAGAGAGAGACACAGGGAGGGAGAGAGAGAGAGAG